GGGCCAGAGGAAATGCAGATGGAAAAAACTATTAGACTATTTAGCTCATCTTCTGCCAGGGAAGGGCTGCTCCCTGCAGTACTCCATTCCTTTGCCTGATTTTTATTTTTTTTTTCCAAAGTTAAAAGACCCTCTCTCTTCTGTGTGTCCAAGGAAAACTTCAGGAAGATTATAAATTAGGCAAAGATGTCTCACTGTGCCAGCCCCACGTGTTAAAATGTCATCAACAAATATGAAATGGAGAGGAAAAACTTTGTCACAAAAACTGGTCAAAGTCTCCACTTTATCATTTACATTTTTCCTGGCAGTAAGAAGCAGCAGGGTATTTCAGCCATGAAAATTGGCTCATTGTTTCATTAATTTGTTTTTTTCCTCCTTTTCTTCTGGCTAAATAAAGATGTTGTGGAGCAAAGAAACATCGTGGAAAATAACAAATGGAAGTGAAGTGCCAGACATCATTAAGTTAGTCATTAAGTTTTTAAGGGCCAGATTTTCACATGTGCCCAGAATCCAGCAGTTTCTGCTGATAACAAATGCTCAGCACTTCTGAAAACTCTGACCACTTCATCTAAGTGCCTCAGTCAAAGTCCAGCTCTTCAGAAAACCTAGCTTTTCTTAGAGTCACTCCTTCAAAGTAACCCTTTAGATATTTTGAGTGTATCCCTGTTCAGGAAGAATAAGCACACAGGCTCTTCCCAAGTTTCCTTTGCCTTGCAGACTGCTGGTAATGGGCTGATGTGCCCAGAGGATTCAGGGCATTTTTACCAGGAGCAAGGACATTCAGGGACCACCTCCTTCCACGGCCCAGAGCTGCCCCCAGGGCTCTGGCAGAGCACAGTTGAACAGGCAAAGACCTTTGCTTCTCTAGGAACAGATGGGAACGAAAGAGGTTGAAATGGCAAAACGCCAAGTATTCTGACATTCCTCTGCAACTTTAGCAGCAAGATTTCTCATCACCTCATGGAAACAAGTCTTCAGAGACTACACCTCCTGCTGTTAAAATGAATGTGGAAACTCCATTAGTTTCTATGGCATGGTGTCAGCCTCTTCTTATATTCTGGCAGGAGAASGGGAAAAGAAGTGCTGTTCCTCAGCACAGAGCTGGATCTGCCTCCCCTGGCTTTCTGCAGCTCACTGGGTGCTCCTGGGGCTGTGTGCTGCCATGCATATTCATCCCGGCTGTTTCACTTTGCAGCGCTCCTGTCAGTTCAGAGATGTCACTCACTGGGAAGGTATGTGAAAAGGCAGTTTATATAGCAATATTGTTTGGGGTTTTTTATATTAAGCCTCCTGCTGACCAAGCTCCCCTTGACATGTCAGCTTCAGAATGAATATTCATACATTGCAGAAAAGCAAGGAAACTCACTAGAGCAGAAAATTTTTCTGGTTTTCAAAAAACTTGTTTTCTTCTACCACTGCTCCTTCCAGCCTGCAGTCCAGCCTGCAAGCAGCCACGATCCCATAGGCTATTTGTATGCCTGAACAGATCTTGGAGGCATTAGGATCCCAGAGTCTCTCAGCTGCCCTGCAGCAGAGGTGCACTGGTGCCTGATATGCCTTGGGTGAGAGGATTGCCTTTAGGACACAATTTTGCAACATATACAGCAATGCACAGTGCAACAGAAGAAATTTCTATTTCTAGAATAAATAGAATGTGTCTTAAAGCTTAGGGAAAATGACACCAAGCACCTTGTGCAGACACTTGTCATCATGGAGAGACAGCAGTCATGAATGCCAGCTCATCCTTTATGGAGATTCTTGTGGTTCATGGTCCCTGCAGGGGTATGCTCCCCAAGGATGAGTTCCACTCAGTTTGGCCTCCACTTAAGATTACCTTTTAKGAAAAGATAGAGACATTTCCTTAACTTCTGTCATATGCCTACTAAAGCCCTACACATATGCACAGGCCACCTCTATACTCACMAACTAAAGAAACTCTTGGAAAGAGTTGTCACCATGCACAATTATCTGGAAAATATTTCTGTACACACAACAAGACAGCTTATTATATCTCACGCAGGCATCATCACAGGGGCAAAAGCCAAACATTTTGCAAAGAAAGCTGTCTCCCATGTTCCTGGTGCTATTGGTGGTTCCAAAGCTGGTTAAAAGCAGTCATATTAAAGATAGTTGCAAACACACGTGACRGATGTAGCATATGTAGAGACCCCAAGAATAACTGCAGAACAAGTCAAGCCATCCAGCATTTTCATCTTAAATTGACCTTACAGTATGCATATGTTCAGGGTCTGTGTTTAGTGTGCCTTATCTACGTTTCAGAAAAGGGCACAGGAACATTGTCACAGTAATAAACTCAATTAGCACACGGAYTGCTGATTTTTTTCATGCAGGCATTTTAACTGAAAAAAAAACCCGCACCAAAATAGTGACTAGACTAAAATATATGATGTGCCCTGCAGGTTTTGCATTGAATACCCTGGATTTACTTTAAAGACATTCTTTAGAGAATATTGATTGGGATTTTCAGGGGTGGCTAAATGACTTAAAAGGATAAGTCCCATTGACTTGCTCCCCTGGACAATGAAATAAATCAATAAGGCTTGTTCTCCCTGAGCTATTTAGGACAAAACCCAATAAAGGATTCAGGCATTGTAACACCTAACTTTTGGAATCTGTTTCTCACTCCRAAGTCCAGAATTTTAAGTTTTAGTCTGCCTCCATTGGACATAGGAGAGTTAGCCATCTTAGAAAAGAGTTGGATGCTAAGTAGCAAGCATGTTTGGAAACTGTGGTCTCCAAGCAGTCTAGAAGACTTCAGACAGGGAGCTGCTTGAACTCAGTCCTTGTCCTTCTAAGTCCCTGTCACACCACTCTACTCACCAACCTTCCAGGCAGCTCTCTTCCTACTAAGCAGGGCATATCCAAACAGCTCCTCCTCTTGGGGACAATAGACTATAGTATTGATGATACCATGRATCTTGAATGTTTTGCTTCACAGTAGCAGAACTTCAGCAGCAAAAAAAAAAACTTTCTTATTTCATATTGCATACTTCTTGTGGGGCACTTAAGGACACTCTCCTAGGAAACTGGAGATGTTGATCTAGCCAGTTTCAACACAGATTTGGGGTGTTTGTTTTTTTTTTTATATATGCAGAAATGGGGACCAAATCTTTCAACTAATCTGTAAGAGGTGGTGACAGCACTTGCCAAAAGTATAATTCAAGAGGGAAGCATATTTCATCATATGTCAGGTATTTGCAAAGACCCACTCAGTAGGGCAGGTCCCTTGGAGGATCTAGGGCAAGAAATACATACTTTTGGTGTCCAAGTCAATGAGGGAGGAGAAGAGAYGGCAAGCAGTTCCAGGAAAAGTCCAACTCATGCCCAAAAGCAGGAAACAGCTTCAAAGAAGGTGGGGCACCTTGTAAATTGAGGCGCCACTAGGGTTAAATGGGAGTTGACTGCAGCATTCTTGAATGGAAATTTTTGTACTTAAGTCCCTTGACTCCATTTGGGTCTGTTATATCTAATTATGCCCTTTATTGGTGCTAATTATTATCCACTGCTGGCAGTGTGTCCTGCATAGTCCACACAGAATATTTAACATGCGATGGAGTTCCTACCCTGAGTCAGAATCTAAAGCTCCATAAGAGGATTGTGCAGGCTGTTATATGAGACTGATACACCCTGTTTTGCTGACGTGAGCAAGTCCTGAAGTGACTCTGGTGACAGTATTCTGAGAGAAGGAAATACAGAGATCTTGCCAGAGCATCTGTATTTCCCTTGTGCTTTACAGAAAAGACATATGGATCTTCATAGAAAATTATAACCTCCTTGAACAATATAATAGGTAATTATATTCCTGACGTAAAATTTTTTTAGCACATGGCATCTAAGAGTCCTTGTTCAGGTCTTCAGTTTTCAAGAGTGCCCTGTTAAATCTCTTCTTTTCATCCCTTTTAAAAATACAGAACATTTACATCAGGGAGCTCAGTTACACTTCCTGGCCCTAACAGAGCAACGTGTACCCGCTGTGCTGATTACTGTGGAAGAATCCCCTCAGAGGGGCTGTCTCACACAGGCAACCCAAGTCTTGCCCAGAGACCAATATTCCCGGCAGGGAGCCGTGCAGCTGCATTCCCCCAGCACAGGGACTGGACCAGCRGGGCACAGACAGCCCCACACCATCATCTCTGCAGGCAGCTTGGRGAGAGCTGCACTGGGAAGTGCAGGCAGAGCGCTCATGGAATTATTTGCCCCCCGTCCCAGTTGCTGTGCTTGCTATGTTGATTCTGAAAATTGCTCATGCCTGGGAAAATTTTGTCAGACATGTTTGCCATTCCTCCGCCACACCCTTTCCAAAGCATGAAAAGTCCTCATTGATGCCTAGGCCTTTTATGARGATATGTTTTTTTTCAAAGCACTGTATACACATTGGCTCATTAAGAAAATACAATTAAAAGTACCTGAAACCTCTTCAGCATTGCTCCATTGTAACCCAAAAATATCACATCTAATTTCACTGATACTTGCTCACCGATTATAAAAAAAAAAAAATGCCCTGAGGCTGAAAAGGTGGATGGCAAATTACAGCTGCAAATTAATTAAAATAATCAAACAAGCCAGAGGTAACTCCCACAGTAAGAGGGTTGCCTACAAAGGCAATGTTAATAGAGCATTTACCATCAGGGGTTGCCTGGTTCCCTTTTAATAAAATATCTATGATTACCTGATTAGCTGATCATTGTGCAGAGCATTTTGTTCTCAATACAGCCATGAAGCCCAGGAGGAGAGAGGCTTTTATCAGATGGAGCTTGTTTATTTAAAATGTATAATTGAGTTCYCCTTTTTTTAATGGAAGCATGATCCAACAGGCTGCTCATCTCCAACTACATATACTGCTTCTCCTCTCTCCAGTCTGAGAGAGCCAGTTTTCTAGCACATGCTTATCTTGGCAAGGTTACCACAATGATCTGGAATAAAGGCAGAACATTGCAATGGGTATGAGAAACTAACCTTTAATGTTTAGAAGTGGTCACCATCCATTATGGTATTACACTAGTCATATGCCACCGTGCTAGAATTACAGCATGCCACCTGTGGTTCTGCCCCCACATGGTATTACTGGAGAAAGAAACTGTTTTAGTTTGATAATATCTGAGAAAGCCAAAATACAGTCCACCTTTTTCACTACCACTCACAWTTTTAAGGGTGCTTCTCGTGCAGGATGCTGGAACACCAAGAAACTTGGAAAATTCAAAAAACACATGAAAACTAGACACCTCGAGCATGTAACTGTATATTTATTTCTTTTTAAAGAACACTCCTTAAATGTATTTTAAGTCAATATACAAACTTGTTTTCACAGATTTATAATCCACTAAATAGCACAAAATATAATCCAGGTCGTTGGTTTCGTTCATCTGTGCGTGTGCATGCRTGTGTTTGAGCGTGTGTGTGTRTGTGCGTGCGTGCATGCACGCATGCTGCTGGTGGTAGTGGTAACCCACCACACGTGTTCAAACACAAGCCCGGGCTCCTCCTCCCTTCCCTCTGGAGCAAACCTCGCCCAGATGGAGACCCTACACTGGAAGACTGTGAGACTTTCTTGCCCATGAAACCCATTTCAGAAGAGGCCGGGGTGGCGGTGCTCTCTGCCTCGCTGGCAGGGCCACACATCTCCGTCCACGGGACAGGATGGAACAGGACAGAACGGGAGCCTCCCCCAAAGCTGACCCAGGTATTGCAGTAGGGAGTGGCCAGCTGTGGAGTTGAAGTGCAAGGAAACACCTTTTTCTCCTCTCCAAACCCTCTCTGACACTCCAGGGCACTTCTTCATGACACCTACACCCCTCGGTCAGCCCTCAGGAGCAGGGGACAGCCAGGCTCGGCAGGGCGCCGTGTGTCCAGCCAGCAGGCCAGCTCCTGGCCCAGCCCCACACTGCCATAGGGGCCTTGTCACCCTGCTGCTGGAGGCCAGCGAGTGGCTCAGGACACTGCYGCTGGACTCTGCCTCCCGGCAGACAGCAGAGCCCCGAGCCCACTCCTGGAAGCACCAGCACAGCGAATCTCGCCGGTCCCGGTGAGCTACACAGATGGCACCAGTGATGCACATATTTACATGGGGTGGAATGTTTTCCCATAGCTTTTTAAGGAGTATATAGATCAACATGTTCACATAAGACCAAATACTTTTAATATATTTATAACTGTTTTATAAAGCTTTGAAAAAACTCACAATAGCACATTGTTTTACTTTAATGCTTTACGGTACTATCAGTTTAAAATCACAATCAGCACTTAAGTTATAGTCAATCCGGCAAACAAGAGACAAAAAAAAATTACAAGAGTTAAGAACTGACTGATACATCTTTTATCTTTTTTTTTTTAACTAATGCATAAGTGCAGAATAAGATAAGATACTCTAGTTTAAATATCTTGTTTTACAATATACATTTTGTTCTAATTACGCAACAGTAAATCCCATGCTTCACATAGAAAAGCAATCCACAACATTAAGAAAAAAATTTACAATTTATGAAACAAAGTAAATAAATATTAGTATTACAGAATCAGAGCTGTACATAAAAGCTGTTCAGTTTTAATCATATAAAAATATGTTTTAGTGCAACCTCACATATATTGATGCTGTTCTGTTTTACATCATTTAGATCCAAGTGTCCAAAAAAGGAAAGAAATTACATTTATTACAAAGCAGATACACAAATTCTAAAATATGTACAAATTACTGCTAAAAAAATGCTTATAAGAATATAAGCAAAGTAAAGAAAAGGCACAAACATCTGTACAATTTAAAAGTACCAGACCCAATAAGAATTTCAAATTTAGTTTTGGTCAGGCTCATGATGACTTGTTACTTTATCTAATTCTTTTGATATAACAAAAGTATATATAATAGCAAACTACTGTAACTTAGAACAGGCATGCTGTAAAGTTGAATACTTCTTCTATCTCTAGAAAAAAAAAAAGTGGGGTAAATGTATGGGTGAAAGTCTCCATGCATCTCAGATCAATGCGGCTTGCTCTTCTCAGATGACGGATCTTTCCTTTCCTGTGTGCTTGATGGGGGATCGCTCCTGCTGTGGAAGCCCAGCTGCTGGACATCCACAAAGCTCTTGCTGTAAAAGGTGGGATGGGCTAGCGCAGTCTGTGATGTACCAAAACTGTCCTGTTCACCACCRTGCAAGTCAGGATGGGTGGCTGAGGCACAGGGCTGGCCCGGCTCAGATCCACTAAAGTGTTTAATGCTAAAATGTGCACTTTCTAAAGGTTTCTGGTGAGGCTCAGAAGGCCTCTGCGGCTGCTCCGCCCCGTGCAGAACGGCTTCTTCTGTGGCGATTCGCAGAGAGGCTATGGCTTTTGTACAAGTCTGTATGTTCTCCTCCTGCTCCCTCTCGGTGGCCACCACACTGTCCTCGGACGTGCTCTGCGCCAGCAGCAGCAGCGGCGAGGAGGGCGCGCTGGGGGGAGCAGCGGGGTGCAAGCTGTGCGGAGAGGTACGTTTCTCGTGGTGCTTAGAAATACTGTACGATTCTTTTGCAAGGGTTTCCGCAGTTCCTCTTTGCTTCTCCTCRGAGCCCTCCCTCTGCAGGGCCAGAGTGGACGGAGAATGTAAACCTGAAAGGGCCACGGGGACTGAATGGACCATCTGGATACCCCCAATAGGCATCATAGGGATAGGTGCTCGGATCTGTTGCTGGGAGTGTAGTGGAAGATGACTGAAGACRTAGTCGCTCGGACCTTCGGGGAACAGGCTAGACCTGCGGTGCTCCATGCCTCCTTTTTCTCCATATATGTTGAAGTAAGGTGCCTGAGACAACCCCCTTCTCTGTAACCAGAAGGAAAAAAAAGAGATGTCAGCGCTGCTACTAGCAGAATTCTTGTCTGGCTGCCAAACCACCTATCTGCTTTCCTGTCTAACACAACCTCCCATTCATGATACACCTTTTATCCAGATAGATCCCAAAGCGTTTKGAAAACTCCACTAATTGCATATCCAAACAACAGAAGAGGTTGCCCCTACAGGGCTCATGCCTCTGAGGTGAAAGGCAGCAGCTAGTTAAGAGAGTTCAGCAACACAATRCAGCAATTTAACTCAGGAAGTGAAKGGTATTTTATCCAAYTGAAACTTTGAACAGAATTTGGGGTAGATAGATTTTCATTCCTCAGGAGAAATTTGGCCAGGAGACCCATCTTASCCTGTCTTTTGGAAAACTGGTATTTTGACTTTTTTTTGCAGAGAAGTACACATCCGAATATCCCCTGCTCACCACCACCGCTTGGTATAACYGGGAATATTTCACAGCATGTATTTTCTGCCTTCTGAAAAATCTGCTCCTGAGCCACAGAGAAGGCACTTGCTCCCTGTGAGCTTTACCCAATCCTTGGTGAAAGCGGATGGGTATTTCCATGTAATGCAAGTGTCTCTGTGCAATGAAGACACAAATTTTTCTGGTCATAGAGACAATGGAGCACCCCTCTGGCTTATCTGAGTGTAAACAATAAATAATARCAAAAGCACAGGCATCAGCTGTGAGCAGAAGCGATGATTTTGTCCCAGGGAGACTCACCCACTCATAAAGGGATTGAGAAGAATGGGGGATTTTGTGATGGCAAATAAAAGCCAATCTCGCAATATTGACATTTWCACTGCCTACCCATTAGTTCCTGCCTTGGAAGAATAAATACCCATCTCCACTCAGTATTAAATATGCCCTAGGCTTTTGGGTTCCTTTTTTTTTGGTTCATTCTYAAGTTTTAAAATTTGTTTGCTATCTGATGATTAAGTATCACTTATTGCTGACCAGAGAAGTAATGATGACAGAAGTGCAGGATGACATTTTCATAATTATGCGTGGGATTTAGCCACACAACTCTCGGGGACTTTCATATGAAATTAAATGAATGAAAATGCTCATCTCTGCTCTGTAAATTGACCAAACACGGATCAATTGCCCCAGAGCTGTAATGCTACCACAGCCTTGGTGTGGCAGCCCGAGGACTGTGCTGCTAAATGCCAATGCGTTAAAGTGGCAGCACTTCACTGCTGGGAAATCCTAGCTCTCACGGCACTAAGCAACCTCTTGATCCCGTCTCAGGGAGCTGGTTTAGGGGGCAATTAAAGATTCAGTTTCTGTGCTACCCAAGGGCTCAATCTCACTGTGCTCAGATGCTTTGTCCTGTTTAATATAAATCAACGTCRAGACAGGAAAGGGTGACCCATAGTCATCAGTCTCGAACTTCAGAGATATTATTCAGAGACTAATCTATGCTGGGAATTTTCCTATTCAGAAAGTGAGACGCTTGAGTCTCATAAAAGAGAAACTGTCATAAGAAAGCACAGTGACAGCACATTATATTGCTGAATGGGGAAAACTTTACAAAATAAACTGCAGCTGCCAAGCGGCAAGACTTAGTTCACCTACCCTGTCAGTCCTTCCTATCGCTAACCTCACCTCTGCACAGCTGCTTGCCCCCTATTTTTTTTTCCATCTTTGGTCTGTCAATCAGTTTCTCAGTCATACTGTCCTTTCAGATGTTTCCTACACTGTGACATTTATCACTATTACATCTGATGTAAACTTGAGCTAAGGGAAATTGAGCAAAAAAAAGGAGTAAAACTCATCAAAGAACAAACCTAGTCACACACAAATCTCTAATTGAAAAAGACACTGGCTTCATGTTTTACCCTGCCAGAGTTTCAAAAGGGAATAGAGCAACAGTCTGTCCTTGTCAGATAGAGGTGGCTAACATGACAGAAACTGCTATGTGCTTTAAGATCAGCAGCACCATCCAATACATGTCTCATATGACCAATTTTTACATAGACAGTGACAGCCTGTGCATGTCACTGGATGCCTTCCAAGCCTGGCTGGGCACGTATTGGATTCTTTTTCTCTGGCTCTGGCAGGTAAGTTTGGAACAGAAAACATAAATGGCTACAGTCACTAATAACTGTTCCTATCTCTTACCCCGCTTCTATTTTCTTTACCAATATCTAGCATTTTCATATCCATCAGACACACATATACATATTCACAGGGAAAGCCTGTCTTTTTTCAACAAGTATTCTGCGAATCCAAAGACTTTATTCAGTTGACAGGGCAGGTATTGGATCACAGAGCACAGTACAGGAAGTCACGGCATCTTTTTGCAGTGCAGGGCTGCTGCCAGTGCCGTGAGATGAACTCCTCTCTTTGTCAGGTGATGGAAATCCACTTTGCTTCCTATTAATCCTCATTTGTTACAATTTAATATATTTCCCTTCAACTCCACCTGACATATAATTTCCCAAGCAACAGTACTCTGCAGCAGCTTTTCACTAAACGTCCTGACCTGGTCACAAAGCCACACCACGCCCCTGAGCAAAGCCATACCCAGCTTCTCAAGTCCCCCAGAATGCCTCAGGGGTGAGATAGGGTTCACCCTGTATCTGGTACATTACCCAAATCGGGCTGTGGGAGATTAAGAGGAAGATCACATTTCAAAGCCAAGCACCCTTCACAGACATCCTCTGGGCAGGCTCACACCACAGCTTGCAAGAAGATGTTGGGTGGAAAACAGTCTCTTTGATTACCACATCATTGTGTACTTGAGGGGTTTTTTAAGTTAAAAACCAGAAAACACTGAACTCTCCAGTGAAATTCAATAACAGAGCATATTACCAATGTGTTTTCTGAAAGACATGATGCGTAATAAAGTGACTGTAACTCTGTGTGGCCTTCAGTTTCAGGATCAGCTCAATTTGCAGCCCTACAGAGAATGCATTACAGTAGCCCAGATATACCTGTGGACCTATTCACTGTTTACCTCAACATCAGAACTTGCTGGCTGTCTGTACAACAAGGCATTTCACTCAAGATGATAAAGTAGTGTTTGGGAAGGGATCTTATATCCATGTCTGGGATGATCAAAGGATCTTAAGTCCTATAATTTTCAAGTGGTCATAGAGGTGTCTAACTGCCTTCAGCCCTTCTGAATATATCAGACTTCAGACTTCAAAATTAATGAGATGAGCAACAAAATGGCAACACAAGCAAAACCCACTACCTCCTAGAAACTAAAATAGTTGTGAGAGACAAGTCTGTACCACKCACAGCAAGGCACCTTCTCAATCTCACTGTGTCTATCCTGGGACTGGAAGCAGAGGCAAAGGTTTTGGTCTGCACTAGGAAGTAGCAGGGTGCACTAAGGGTTGGGACAAACAGGAATGGAGTGAAACTGTTCAAGCTGGATCCAATGTTCACAATGCAAATGTTGTGGGTTTGGAAGGGAAGGTTGCTTCAGATTAGCCCTATGTGGTGTCTTTGCAATCACTTGAATGGCCACTCACATTGTTGAGTGTACAACAGTTCAAGTGTACCTGCTGCCCTGCTGGTGAACATTTTTTCAGTTTAATTCCATCTGACAACAATCCAGATGACTTACTCCAAGACTGATCCGAAAATGTGAGTTAAAGCACAAAAAATGTGACAACAGAGACATATGCCTGATCCAAACTAAAATTCTAACAGAGAGTTACTCAGGGTGAACCAATGAAGCTTTCCTATTCCTTCTTTTYCTCTCAGGACTTTTCCCTCAGAAAATGACTGGGAAGAAGAATCTGACCCCTTTGACAATGGCATCRGCTTCCTCAGAAAGGAAAGAAACCTCTGGCATTGACGGAAGGGAAGATCCCAAATGTATTTAGAAAGCAGAACTTTCTGGCTTTATTTTTAAAGACCCCGATTTAACTTGTCAAAGTCAAMTGTGTCCCAGCATACACCAGAGCCTTAGGCTTCTTTGAGAGAGCATTCTGTTGCAAGAGTGTATCCTGTTATTAACTGCCAAGGGGAAAAAAAAGTGTGCAGGTTTCTGTACTTTTATATAATCTAAAAAAACCCAGTTACTTTCTCCATACTCTTTTTCACTTCCTAAAGAAATTATTTCAATTGCTTTCTATGTGATGCCTTCAATGCCAAAGCACTTTATGAGCCCTTTGCACAAGACCAACAAAGTGCATGGACATTCAGCAGGAAGCAACATGAAGGACAACKAAACCAGCACTGGCCAAAGAGACGGGAGCAACTATACAAATTTCAGTTGAGAAGAAAGAAAACTGGCCTCTTCTGGAAACTGCAGGCACTAGAAGTACAAAACTGCCCTTATCCCTGCAAGGACTGGGAACCCAATGCAGCTTTTCAAGTATTTCAAGGATTGTAAGCTCACACGTGCATCACCAATGCAGCTGCTAATGATGTTCTGATTTGCTGTATTTCACTACTCCAAAAGCAAAAAACAACATTTATTCCTTTTTCTTCTCTGACAGCTTTCATTAATAGCAAGYTCAGGCATTATTTGCCTTCCCACATGCTGAGTATAATAACTTGTGTTTCACTAAAACTCGACTACTGTTTGGCTAAAGTACATCTTCCAGAARGGCATCAGCAAGACAAGGAATTCATTTTTCCTTCCTTGCAGGAGTTTGCTGCAATGGACAATCAYCCTCATTTGTCATTTTTCATGTAARTTTGCCGGGGYTCCGCTTCYCATGATGCCTTTACTCTGCTGAGCCCTGCCCTTCTCTCAGAACACTCAACRTGYCACCGAGTTACTGATGCTTTCTGGGAGACAACTGATCTTTTACACRGTGTTTTTTTTCACTGCCACATGCCTCACTCCACCTCAAAAAGAAGGTAAGCATTAGAAGTCCATCTGGCATGGTGGACTTTTCAAAAGAAGGAGCTGGGAGTGCTAAGAGAGTCCTCAAAATGTGCTAAAAGCCTTGCTGGAAGGTGTGCACAACACACAAGGAAAATATGACAGCAAGAGCTGTCAGATGGCCAAGGACGACTGCTAACCCATTGCTAGCATCATTACACATCCAAAATTTTTACTGCAGATTGCCAATGTGTCCCATGTGGGACACAGGGACTAGGGCACCCTACACAATGCCAGCTGTAGAATCCCATATGATCCCATTCATTTGATACTAAGTTGTCATGACTGGTTAAACTGGTGACTCTTCACCCACTTGTGCTTCCTCACTTTGTCAGAAGAACTACTGGTGGGATTTGTACCCTCTCTCAGGTGTGCAGTGATCACTCCTGTGAGAGCACAGCAGGGATTCAGCATGCCCTTTGAGAAAAGACCATTTAATCAGCCAGCCCTCTCCGCTGCTCTCCCAAACAACTCACCAGGCCATGGGGCCATGCCTGAAATGTGGTAGGAGTACCTGTGTTGCCCTCTCTTATAAGCATGACCACTCACATTGCAGCTTTCCCTTATACCCCTGAAATGTTGGGAAATCAGTTTTGGATGTGCCAGGCTGGCAGCATCTCAGCTTTTTTCGGTCCACCCCTGCTCTGGCCATCTTCGCCCAGGTGCATCCCTCTCCATTCCTGGGAGCAGCTAATACATCAGCCTGACTACAGAGGAAATCACACCAGAGCTCAGAAATGCTGACTGTATGAGCTCCTCCACAGAGGAACACCACAAAGACTACATGGAGGGCCAAGAAGACTGGGAATGGGGAAGTAGGGAGAAGAGGCCAGCAGGAGAAGAGCAGGGAGCAAGACCTTACTCTAAAGACATAATCTATTTGTGGAGGGAGTGCTTTGTGAATGCTAGGGCTGGTCAAAAGTGACAATCTGGCAGTTTCTGAGAGCTGATTTACYGGAAGGGAAGAGCACAGACAGCAGCTGTGCAAGTTTTGCGTATTTCCACCGAGACGGTTGTGTCCCTGCTGGAGCAGCCAGTTGTGATGGCACTTTCTGTTGGGCAGACAACTGCCTACTCCTCTCACACAATAACATCTTTTAAATTCCAGCCACACATCCTGATTTCAGTGGGCACATTGCTTTTCCAAGAGGTTCCATTATCTCAGCATTTTTATTCCATTAAACAATACTCAGTAATGGGCACCACTGCTCAGGAACCAGGCTTTAAGCCTTGATCTTGGTTTGATCGCACCTGAGAGTCTGGGAAGTAAAAATTTTTTACAGTGCAGAAGCAAGCCTCACGCTTCAAGTGAGCTTTCTAGACTATTTAAAATACATATATATATAAATATATATAATACAATTAATATGGAGACAGAAAATGCAAATCAGCCTAATTTCACTGAAGTTAATGCAGCTACTCAGGCTTCTACCAAGTGAAGAGTTGCCCCTTAGGCTGACTCTAGTGCATCTAAATGAATCAGCATTCTGACTTGGTCCCTGTCTGTTCCAAATTTCTTGCATTTCTTCCAGAACTTCCCACCAAGGCTCAAAGTTTGCGCCTTCTTCTTCTACAAAGCTGCCAAGATTTTTGAAATGCACAATTCACCAAGAACACAGTTTTGACAAGAGGAATGAAAATATTCTTTCATACTTACTGAGTGTCCCACCGGAATAGATTCAGACTGTAAATATTGACCCATGGACAATGCTGGATTATGGTACAAGCCTCTCCGGGGAGATGCCGCTCTAACAGAAGCCATATATCTCCTCTCTCGCCTGGGAGACAAATCTCTTCGAACAGACACATCTTTCGCTGGTGACATTGGCCTCCTGGGCGATAGGTGACGTCTTGGTGACACGTCCCGCCTTGGTGATAACTCCCTCCTCAGCACAGCCTCCTTCCGTGGGGAAAGGTGCCTCATGGGTGAAATATCTCTTCGGGGTGACAGATGCCTTCTGGGTGACAAATCCCCTTTTGGCATTAAATACCTCTTTGGTGAGTTATCTCTGTAGGGTGAAGAATCGTAGCCAGGTGACGATTGTCGACTGGAAGGTGAGAGGTCCCTCGGAGAAGAACTGGGATCCAATGAAAGCGTGCAATCCTCATCCATGCAGCTGGGTATGTCCAATCTGTCTTTATCGGGCTCTGAATCCGTACTYTTGCTCTGGAAAAACCTCTGATATTCCGTCATTTGTGTGTCTTCGCAGGAGTCGCTTGGTGTTATAAGCTGAGTAACCTGAATGCTTGGTAAGGTGACCAAGTAACTGATGAGGGAGGAGTGTCCCACTGAAAGGGAGCCCTCGGGGGAAGCCCCCTGTGACGCCCCAGCCGAGTTCACTGACAGCGAGGAGAACCGAGGGGGCTGCGGGCTGGTGCTTCTTGATCTGGTTTTTGGTGTYGAGTCTCCCTGAGTATCATCAAAATCATCCTCATCTTCATCGTCATCATCATTGTCATCGCCGTCCTCGCCATCTGATTCCTCCGCGTCGGAAAACTGGTGCTCTGCCGACAGCCCGGCCAGGCTGCTGCTCTTCTCTGCCTCCTGCTGCATGTCCTCCATGTTTTCTGAAACATCAAGTCCAAACCGTGAGCACACACCCCACCTCTCACACCTCACCCACTCCCCACCCAGCGCACTCATTGCCACTGCTGGATGCTCTTCWTCTGGCATGGCTGCATAAAGCCATTCTTCATACATTAAAACCATAGTTTCTTTTCAAAATAATACCTTAAAACTCCATACCTTCTGTGAAAGGAAGCAAGAAAGCAAATTCATCCTGCATGCATTACCTTGCAATTTCACTAAATGTTGTCATCTCTCACATCTTAAGTGGAGGACTGGGAACTATGCATGACAGAGATGACAACAGGCCATACTTTTATTCCTAGCTCCTCTTCATGTAAAAAAATATAACTCAGACAACTGGATAGAACTTCTTTTTTTAAGTTCCTATTTATTAAAAAGTTAACTCTCAATTAAAAAATGCCCCAAATACTCTTAATATATTTTCCCATGCCCATCACTGTGCTAAAGTGCAATGAGTCATTTGCATACTCCATACTTTCCATATTTTAGTTGGAATGAGGCCATTCCAACTAAATTAAATCATTTTGACATACCTGCTTCTTCAGTTTCAGCATCATCTACAGATGTCATTGATACTCCAAGCTCCAAGCATTTTTTCATGTGTGCTTTAGACTTCATATGTTTTGTCAGATTTCCTGTGGATCAGAGACTAATGTCAGCAATGGACAACATCACTCTTCAAGTAAGGTTTTGGTGTATCTTAACTCCATTATCCTGCAGATGATGGGTTTTAGCTTTAAAACACACCACAACAGACAGGGCTGACTCAGAGCCTGTTTTAATAACAGTGGGTTTTTTATCTTAAGAAAGTAGAAAATTCCAATAAAYTCAGGGCCTGAGAGGTACATAGGCATCTCTCCAATTTTCCACATGATATTTAGGCACCCCAGAAAGCTAAAAAACTCTCTTTTGGATATTATCTATTCCTGGACTCACTGTCTCACTGTTCATGATATGTACAGACTGCCTAGGCATCAAAGTAAGTCCACTGCCCAGCAGCCATTCAGGGCTCATTATCCTATTTACACGGTGGCACTTTCAAGATAACGGCTCTCCCATTTACTCTGCACATCATTTCCCAATGTTCTGTGTATTTGAAGCATTTTGAAGCAAAAGTGCCATAAAAAAAAAAAAAAAAAACCAAAAAAAAACCAAACAAAAAAAACCAAACAAAAAACATTTATGGGAGTCTTCTCTATGCAAGTTTACCATTTAGCTGCAGTCTCTGAATTGAGAGGAGCTGTACATACAGCATCCACCTGGGATGTGGGAAATTCAGGTTCAGCTCTCAGATTCAGAGTASGATCTACACCTTTGAAAGCAAATCTCCATTCCCTTGAGGGAGCAATCTAACACTAGACTATTGGCATTCTGGAGTGCCTGTCTTAGCTGCTTTATCACAGATAAAAAAACTGGGTTGAGATTGGCCCCAAGAGACATTTCATGACAAAGAATCCTGAGCACAAAGCAGAACTGGAGAATATCACTGTAATCCATTTGCACCTTCAGTGTCRTTTGCAAACACCCAAAAGGAAAAGCATGGCACAAGCAAACCCACTAACAAGGCATGGTGCCTCTTAGCTCAAGGAAAGCCCTCTGCAAATGCATTTATGCTGCTTCTTGGATGCCAACCAACATCTCCAGATGGTGTTGTGGCACGTGCCATCTGGGGCCAGGAACACTGCACCACTCTGCTGGATAGTGCAGGTGTGCTTAAAACACTCACAAGCCAGGTTCTTCTCTAACTTTTAGTTCCAGCTAGTTCAAATCTCTCCCTTTTCAGTAAGAGTTTCTTATTTTACCTGTGCACTGCATGACAAGGCTAACTTGGCCATTGATGCTTCTGGGATGGCTCGATGCTTAGAAAAACTGAAAACCTAAGTACCTTTGAAAGTCTGCCCCCTATTACTCTCAGCAGAATAGCAACAATAGTAATGAGGCTGACAACTACTTATGATCAGTAATACACCAGTTAAACACTTCTTGGACTCAAAGGCTAACTTASTCTCCTCTTACTCATGTCCTTCTTGTGCAATAGCAAACCACCTCCTCCATATTTCTTTGTTATCAGAAATGCCAGCCTCAGCAAACAATTCCACTTTTTTTTCCATGCCACCTCTTCTTCCTGGAATGTCCTGTCTGAACACAGCTGTAAAATCACAATACTTCCAAGTCCCTCCTCAAGACCCATTCCTCCAGCAGTGTCAAATGTCAGCAGTGAGAACAGCTCACCGGATGGTGTATTGGGACTACAAACAAGCAGCTCCTTGTCTTTGTCTCTACATGCCCATGAAAGTTCTCATCTTAAATTAGGTTGATGGGTCTACTACCATCCACCAGCTATTCCCATCTTTGGCACAGGAAGAGATGCTGCAGTCATGGAAACTATTACAATTCTCAATCCTCAAAACAGCCATGAAGCTGCACTGGGATCTTGGGAGAAGTTTCCTTCAGCTTCCTCTCTCCCACTTTGAGTCAAGTTCACTGCATTGGGACCAGAATCCATTTCTTTTGTCTGCCAAAGAGAAGCTAAGAAACTGAGAATGTAAGGCTCATTTGGGCTGTGCTACAGAGAAATGCTACCAAGAAAAGGATTTTTTCTTTCAAGGAGATGGTAGCATCACAAATCTGAATTCCAAAGAATATCATTATCTGTGGCCTCAGGGTGACAAGTGGAAGCTTTTTTTCTGTGCTGATAAATACATGTGAACAGAAGCTATCAGATCTTTATTCATAATTAATGTCACAGCGGATGGAGTGGCCCATCTGCGAGACATCCATTATTTATAAACTTGAAACTGACCCACTGTAAAGCCTGTGAAGGCATGTATTCCTCAGCAGCTGATGCTCTGCTTCTACATTATGTCATGAGAAATGTAGTCTCCTGGTAGCATTTAAGGGTTGCTGCAATTAAAACTTGCACCATGTAACAATGTTGGCAGAGTACTATTTTTCAGGGTGGTTCTTATGCTACTGCATTTTTTCAGCAGACAGAAGGACMAGCCAAGAGCCTATAGGTTTTGATGAAGCTGTCCAAGGAGTCTCAGAGTCTCACAAAATCCCTGGGTCAACTAAACAGAAGAGAAYAAGCTCTTATACAGTCCTGTATACACGAACACAACAATTTTATCCCAAACAAAATACCCTCCTAGATTGCAATGGGTGCTTGGATCCCAGAGGGCAAAATAGCTCCAGAAGTGGCAAGAGTTCAGCAAAAYGGGTCAAGTACCTTTAGTTTTGAAGGCAAAATTGCACAACTTGCATACATAAGGCCGGACATCAGTGTGAGTGCGGATATGTTTTTTGAGCATGCTTGGCTTTTTGCAGCGAATGCCACATTCTTCACAAATGTACTTTCCTCGGCCACGACCTCGGACATAGACATAATCCTCATTTGATTTATACCTGTTGGAAGAGAGCAAGTATTTAAGTCATACACACTCTAGGTCTCATACATGTACAAACATCACTTCTATGCATCTGATCCTGATGATCAAAGCAAACCCACAGAAGTCCAAAGGACCCTACTGAATTTTCAGTCTGGAACTCAAAGTATTTGGCTTTCAGTGAATGGTCCCAGTGTATTTCAACAATATGAGACCAACAGGTTGCAGGATGAKAACAGAATAAACACATTGTCAGGAAACCAATGAACAACCATTCCTATGGACACAATTCCAAACATAAGCCTGCAGGTTGGATTTATTTCAGCTCATTGTAGTCTTGTACAGCACAGACATTTACCACCACTGAAAAGAGTGTTGTTTTGCAGCACGGCTCATTTAACTGTTTTAGTGCATTTATCCCTTGGGATCAGATAAATCACAGCCTGGAAATGCCCATTTCTTCACATTAAGCATAAAGAGAACATGGATGACAAGCAAGGATGTATGTTACAATACAGACACCTGATATTCTCTCCCTAAAGAGACACCAAGTTGAGTTCACGCAGGTATGTGATGCTTCAGAAATAAAATGGTAAACATCAAACATGGATACTTAGAGGAAAGCTATTATAAGAATTTTTCTTAGCACAGATGTAAGCTTCCCATGCTATTTTTGCTGATCACATACTGTGTAGTTAGAAAATAAATAAGATATGAAAATCTATGTAAAGCTGTACATTGCCTTTATTATCATGCTAAATTGTTCATATTGAAATCTAATAGTCCAAGGAATCTGCTCAGGCTGTTCTGAGTTTTGAGGACTGCTATGCATTCCTTTGGGGAAGAATTCCATCCTCATTCATCCAAAGTAAAATCCAGGAAGTGCAAGAAATAATACTTCTCTTGCCCTCTGTCCTCCATTGCCCTCTTCCTAAGCAGCACAAAGTACTTTCAGTCACTCTGCAGATGCACAGCCCACAACAAATCGTTGGTACTGACATTCAGTACTTTAAATAAAAAGGGGACTGTGTGAAAGATTCTGTTAATGTGATGATAACTCTACAAAAAGGAAGTGACAAGTTTTGGGTTACAGAGCTGAAAYATTTTTCAAGTGTGCTTTTCTTAGATGAACACTTTCACATATGTTTAGCTATACCATGGGCAATATAAAYACTGAAGTTAATACCTTGAGAAACATAAAACTGTGCCCTTTCTCAAGTCCATCTTCTTATCTACAACACACATCAGCTCCTCTTTCAAATGTGGATGCCTAAGTTCAGGTTTTTTCATCTCATTTCCAACAAAGTTGTCCCTCTCCCATTTCCTTCATTGTCCCTGGCAGCATGGGCAAAACTGGCTTAGTCTAATGTAATTTAATACTTAGTCATCTCTCTAGCAGGTTTCCTGTACAACATTCCTGGGATCTTGGTTGTCTGCCTGCCCCATTTCCCAGGTTCTCCTTCATATACACACGCCAATGACTGATAGCCACCTCTCTATTCACTTCTTCATCAGCTACCTCCAGGCTTCCTCTCACAAACAAAAAAAAGTCCATTATTGTTTGAAATACTGCYATTTTATTTGCTTTTCATCTCTCCCTACAGTCTGATTTTGCTGGGATGGAGTCTACCATATACCCCTGACTGATACTGGTAAGATAAATGCTATGCTATTGCATGTGCTTTTCTCTTGTTCCGTCTCAGCTCTTCTYCTGCTTGACCTCACTCCACTGGCTTCTGTCACCTGTCAGATCCCATTGGGCACAAAGACAATGATAAAATATGTGTCTCTTCATCATTCTCATAGATGGTTTTTGGCCACAACTGACCTTGACTCTTTTTAAGTATGCTTCATCATAACAATGACTGCAAGAGAAATGACACACACAAACTTGACATTTAAAGAAGGGCTGGTGCAAAAGCTAAAAGACCAGAAGTCTGAGTCTGTGGTGATTACCTTTTAGCCCACAGGAATATTAGATCTTACTACTAGCTTGTGCCTCTCTCAAAGCTTTGAATAATTTCCCCCTTCCTACTRCGTAACATCCGTGTAAGGGCTTTGGGTCACTGCCACTCTGAGTTTGACTTGGATGGGACTCTTGAGTTAAAAAGCATTAACAAGTCTCAGAGTCCTGCAATTTCTACCCAAAATGTTATTTTATCTGGCTTTTTCAATTAGCGTTTATTACTGATAGATATAAAAGAACAAACATAAGCAAACTGTGAATTCTTGCTGTCAGCTGATAATGTCATTAAGCTGGGTGTCAGACAAGCAGGCATGCTCGTCCTGCCCCTCCTTTCTTTGCACACCATTAGTAACTAAGTGCACTGCAGCAAGCACTGAACTGCAAATTACTGCTTTTCTTTGAGGAACACTGCTTCATATCACATCAGTCACATCTGCAGTCACAGATGATGGAAAGCAGATTTTGTGATTCAGATAATTTCACTTGAATCAWACCACCTGCCAGTGGTAATAATGTGGTGGTTAGTTTCTTCCTTCCAAATTCCCTCTGCTACGACACTTGCAAAATGCTCTTGATGGGCTTTATGTGGTGAGGTGGTGATGTGCTCGGCAYCTAGTGGTACTGGCTGATGGCTGCAATTGATGATCTTAGAGGTCTTTTCCAACCATAACAACTCTGTGATTCCAGGATCTACTTTTTCCCTCAATTCTGATTCTCTTCCTTCAGCTTCTCACCCATCCCCAGCCCTGTCATTCTGCTTGTTGCCCAGCTGCCATACAAATATTCCACCCCACTGGCACAAGGCAGCTGCAGAGCTGTCCTGCCGGGTGCACAGGCTTTCCCAAAACCAAAAACGGACACAGATCTCTCTCACCTAATTACCGTCTTCTCACCTATGAAACAAAAGCAATCACAAAGCCTAAGGAAACCCATTCCCCATGACAAACAAAAATCAAAATGAAAATACGCTGCTGAAACAAGATATGACCATCCATGCTGGTCTGTGCAGGGGAGAAAACGTGACACGAAGACAGCAGACATTTTCTATATAGTTCATTGCTTAGAGGAGATGAAGATGTGCTTGGAGAGAGAAAAACAAAATAGCTCAACAAACAGCCAAGAACAAGCAAGMACAGAAACCCACCCATGTCAAAAACTAGCTTTCAGAAGTCATAAACAATAACACAAAGAGAAGGACAAATCAAATAACCAGGACAGAAGGCAATGCAAGATATGACAATAACATCTAAGGTGTATTACACTGATTTTAAAAATAGCCAAATTAATGTCTAGAATGGAAAGAACAAATATATTTCTCCACACATAATTCAAAATAATGGCAAATACCACAAATAATGGTAAAATGTACCATAAAGTGAAGATGCATGACTAAAAAAGTAGACCTACTGACACTGCATCACCTCATTCGCTGTAGTTTTGCAGGTTATTTGTTTCTTTTGAGGAAGCCCCAGTCTATTACACAGACCATTTCTTCTCCCCACTCCAGAAATTAATGTGCACATCAMGGTTTCTTATGTTTTGTTTTACTCAAAGGGTATCTAAACACAGCCAAGTATTACTAGGAGACATTGCTAGGTGAAGTGTTTATTACATGACTTTACTCAAATAGTTTCATAAACCTTATTGATGGAAAACTTAAAGTAGTGCAAGTAACACACAAAATTTCTTAAAGAAAATATTAGATAGTAGAGGCTTTTTATAGGGTGATCTGCTGCAGCTCACAGTCATCTGAATCCTCCTTTAAGTGGCTTTTCTTAACACACTTTTCTGACCTCTCATCATGCAGCTTACATCAAGACAGACTATCTTCAGCTGGGTCATCCAAATTCAGAAATGCTACATAGTGGGAAGCAGGCAAATTTTATACTTCAAAGTGGGTGTGAGTTGAAGCAACAGCTCTTTAAAATTCTTGTAAACTTAGGCTCACTGCTGAATTTGGGTCACTCTTGCAAAGCCAGTCTATTTGCTTAGGTACTAGAACAAGGTACAACTATGGAGAACAGTCAGGATAAGGGTGCCTGGGCCAGCACACCTATAGGAATCTCCAAAATAACTTTTTCATTCTTTCAGGCAAGATATAGGCTATACCCCTTCAGTGTTGCAGGCTACAGAGAAAGAGCAATGGTAATTTCATGGAGACGACTCAATCTTAAACAAAAACGTAATGTCAATGAAGGACAAYGGAGATTTTAAAGGGTACAAACTGACAGGAGAAGGAAACGGATGTTTKAATTCCTCACATCTCTCTCCTGACCTATTTTGTTACCCCAACAAAATAGTGCTGTGATACCATCTCAGTTTGGTAAGACTGAAAAACGTATCTTGCATTGTGTCAGAATTATGTAAAAGAAACTAAACAATATCTTCCATTTTAGAGTATGCTGCAGAGACAAACAAGTGTCTATTTCATTTTCTTTTCTTAGTAAGTACCATAAGCCTCAAAACAATGTTAATTGGCTTTCCCCTCTCCGTTATTTGTTTATGTTATCACTTGAATGATACATTGCCACAGTMAAATTAAACATTATTTCATTAACCATACATGACAGATCTATGGATAAGGCTTAGATGCCTTACATTTTATCTCCAAAATCCAACCTCAGTAAATAATACAATAGTACAAGAATAAGACTAAGCACGCCTGGTCAATCCGTTCAACTGAGTAGAAGTACACAGTGCCTAAAAATGGAAAGACATCCTCATGGAAGTCATTAAATACAAAGGAATGGTGTAGAAAATATCAAAATGTTAACAGTTCATCCATTTCCTTATGACTTAAAGAAATAAGGCAACAATTTTGAGTGAGTGCTCTCATACAGATGGAAAACAATTGTCTTAATAGCAAAGTAGAGCCCAAAGTGAGTACAAAGGTACCTTGCAGTGCATTTTAAGACTGACAAATACACAGAAAAGAAGATGCTTGGGAGCTACAAGACATGGCACGAATACAGGAGACTGTTCACATCCTAATTCATTCATATTCATAATCAAATGTCTTTAAAAAGACAGGCTGAGCTTGAAATTTCCAGTTTTATTTTCTTACCCTCCTTCAAAGATTTTAATTCGTATCGGCTCAGTTTGTTTGGATGTAATGTCTTTATCTCCATGAATGTCTCCTTTTACTCTTTCTTTTATAATATTCCCCACTACTTTCTTTTCAAGCTTGCTGCCAAACAAGAAGAATGGCTCGTGTTTCATCTGTAGAATAAAGTCAAGGAAGGGTGTTACTGCTGGAGCACACAATAAATGAACACTTCATTTCAAATACTTTTAACATACCAGGTCAAAGCCAAACTCTCATTTTGGTGCAACTCTATACCATGAATTAATCTGTCCCATTTAATTTGACAGGGAATAAGAGAGGAGGCAACGTGGACAAAYTTTTACGGGAGTTTTGACAGACAATACTGTATCTTTCCTCAGAAAAAAAAAAAAATCATGGAAAATAGATATGGAAAAGCCTCAGAAAGTAATTTATTGTCGTTAAAGAATTTTTAAATCAGGAAAAACAACGGGCAAAATAAAAGGAGATAATGTATCAGGCTTTGGCATTCATGAAGGGAGGGCTTTAAAAGCCTCACTTTTTACATCTGGTTTTGAAAATGGAGACAGAGACAGAGACAGCAGAATTAGCAGAGCTTGCAGAAGGATAAACTGAGGCTCGGAACTTGTCTTGGGAAGGTGTTACTGGCTGGCTTCCCAATGGGGAATCTTTTTCCAAAAAACCCCAAACATTAACTCTATTTTACTTTTTACTAGAAATTTCTAATATAAAATAAATGAATTTAATTGTATTAAAATTTCTTATTTACCTGGGCAAACTGCTTCCATGCACTTGATGATGTCAGTTTACCAGCGCCGGGTCTGTGCATAGCAGCCAGGGTGTAGATTTCCGTGGTGTTTTTTTGCTTGGACCTTAAAAGTGCTAAAGTGGTCTTTGTACTTAGCCCAGATGGGTTTGGGTTACATGAACTTATACACCATGAAGCATAAACAGAAGCTTTGAGGGTTGGTTGCTGAGTGTAATTGGGTTTYGTATAGTTTAGGAAACACCAGCTCACGGTTGTTGTAGTACGCAGACTCGGGAACTGAAGGATCTGTTGAAAATCTGCCACGTCTGTCAGGAGAATAGTTGAGGCTGTGACTTTCCCAACAGCATTAGATGACATCTGGACTAACATCCCAAGAGGTAATTTTTGGTGTTTCAGTTGGTCTTCTGTCTGAATTTCTCCTGGCAATGAAGACCTCTGTGGACTCATGCTCATATCCGAGGCTGTTTCATCCACATCCAGCTCTTCCGGTGAGTCTCTTCCTTCAGATGGGCCACTGGACTTCTGTCCCGGTGATGTGGAATCAAAACTTGAAAGTTTCTCTCTGCTCACTGGGAATGCATCACCTCCCACCACACTGACAGGTGGGAAATCTTGAGATGATGAGGATGACAGTGATGAAGAGGATGACATGGATGGCAGACTTTCTTTTGGCTCAGTAGTACAGCTCTGCCTTACCAGTTGCGGCTTTTGCACTCTTGGAAAATCTTTCTTTATGTCTGAGTTAGTTAACTCAACTGCACTCAGTTCCTCAACGATCTGCCCATACATTTTTTCTTCTTTGACTCGTTTCTGCTGCTTGGTCTCCATGAAGAGCTCCAAGCTGCTGGCAGGGGAAAGCATTCGTTTGCCTCCTCCCAAGGTAGAAGCCATGTCAGAAGTGGAAGGCAAACACAAAGGAATTGGTGCCTCCAGTCCAAGCGGAAGCGTCTGCGGCACTTTCCACAAAGGATATTTTTCTACTCCTCCGTGGTGACCCAACATCTGAGCTATGTTAAATCCAATTCCTTGCATGGTTGCATTAGTTACCAATGTTCTTTGAGAAACTGTCTCATCAACTTTACAAATTACAATTGCAGGACTGTTGCTCTGTCCAAGGATTTGGGAAATGCTTGTGTACATGACACTACCGTAAGATGGCACATGGGTTTGAAGCCTGACAGGAACAACTGTTCCTGGCAAAGACTGTACAGATCCATCACTTGGGGAGTCAAAATCTGTCTGCAGATGCTGCTCAGAGGAGATATCTGTTGGTTTAATGCTATGGTCTGACTGGTACTTAGCAAGAGTATTTTTTGAATACGGCCCAGATGTTCCTGAGTAGTGCTGGTATGCTTGTTCTTTAGCGTGCACATAATCAGCTGCTTTCTTYCCAATAAGCTCTGGTGCATGTTCCAGGTGGTAACTTGGAGGAATGTCTGTTTGGAAAGGCTGCTGGATGTAAGATTTCTGCAGCTGTTGTAGAAACTGATGCTGGAAGTGCAGAGGTTCTGTGCATGACTGCCATAGGATAGGCTGCTGAGATGGTGGTAAGTGAACCATGCAGACAGCTGGGTAGGGGAACTGAAACAAGGTGCTATGAATAGGGGGAAATGGGACTTTCTCCTGATGTGCAAATAGCTGCTGCTGCTCTGATGGATGTTTGTTAGAAATATAAGGTGCTTGTTGGATTAAGGGAGTCCTTAACATTTCTGGGCTGTCTACAACAAGAGCCTGCTGCTGGGCAAGGTGGGATGAGCTATTACTAAGCTGAGCACAAGAGCCAATAGATTGTTTTCCAGAGTCATCCACCTGAATGGACTGAAGTACAGAGGAAGGGGAGTGATGCCAGGCAAGCTGGGAGGAGCGAAGACCGACCTGTGAATGCTCCATCTGCTCCTGCTTTATGCTTTGTTCTGTGCTCTGATCAGTCTGGGCAATCTCTGGAAAACCACTGAAGGAAGCTTGGCGAACCAAGAAGCATTTCTTCCTTTCTCGGGATGGAGACAATGCCACAGTAGGTGTTCCAGCTGAAGAGGCATGAGACAGGTTCCCATAATCAAAGGATTTACTTCGGATCTCTGGAATTTCAGCAGCATGAGGACAGGGCATCTGTTCAGACGAGCAGCGTCTCATTTCCCTCTGATGGTGATGCCCAGGGACGGAAAGTGAGTAAGCACCTGCTGGAACTGTTAAAAACTCAGACTGCTTTCCAAATTCATCTTGTTTGGGAGGTGTGATGAACTTCATGTTCTCTTCTCTTTCAAAGGACATTGAAAAACTCGAACTGTGGGACAAGTTGCTTTCTTGGCTAGGGCTGCGAGAGAGGCTTGTACCTGTAGACTCAAAGCTGGACTCTCCAGAGGAGTGCTCCATGTCAGCCAGTCTTAAACGCTTCTTTTTGGGTGGTAGCTTTTCAGCTGGAAGTTGAGAAAGGGTTTCACTTCTCTGGGGCCACTGGAATTCTTCGGTGGGTCTCTCCTGCTCTTTACTCTGCACTTCTTTATCTTTTTCGGGCTTATCTGGCTCCTCGGTGACACGAATTTCAGGGACCTGTATGTTGTGCTGGCGAACCAGCCTGGGCTGCATGTGACACGGCTGAGGCTGCTGGGATGGGGATGGCTTACTGGTGTCAACACTTTCCATCTGTGGAGCTCGGTCTGGGCTCATCGGGGACTCACAAATCTCACTCTCACATGTTTCAGAGGGTGAATAGACCTTTTCCTGCTGGCATGCAATATGCTCTGTAGATTCAGACCTTTCAAATGAGTTTGGCCTACTCAGTGAATTTGTGTGCTGAATAACAGAGATGACGTTTCCAGGGGGCTTTCTAACCAGTGATTCTGCAGCCTTTTCTTGCTCTGAAGCTAGGGATGAGTCTTCCAGAGAAGCTGCTGGACTTCCAGACTGCAAGTAAGGCCTGCACATCTCAAAACGCTCTGCATGGCAATGGGGAGCATTGTCGAGGCCTTGAAGGGCAAATCCACTTCTTGGCACTTCCTGAATTTGGGATTTGGAATCAAAGTCCAAAGATTGAATTCCCCCAGGGGTGCCACTTGTACTGCTGCAAATCATAGGACTGTCTTCCTCATCTCCAACACTCTCCTCTTTCCTGCGCTTTCTGTTTTCAAAAGTTGTTCCAAGCATGGATGGCACTGACTGAGATTGTCCAAGTGGCTCAATAAAAAACTCTCCCCCCTTGTTCATCCCACCTAAGGATGGCGAGTCCCTGTAGTTCTGCTTCTGAGCCTCAAATTCTTCCCACTTTCTGTAGTGCTTTCCACTGGCATCATAGTCATGAAAGGTCTTGTCTCCTTTCTTATCTTTTAAGGATGGTCCTTTGTCACCTGCTGTCTGTCTGCTGGAAGCAATAATGATATTTTTCCCCGGTCTTCCATGATAGTCTGAATCTGAGTGCCCTTCCTGTACAGATGGCAGTTCAAAGGCAGCCTGCCTTCTCAACATCCTTTGGTGGGATATTCCCACTGTCCCGGGATAAAATACATCATCAGAGCCAGTCATCTTCTCATCAAAGGAGTGGCTTCCCCTCAGAGACTGGGGAACACTTAGGCTGTTTGCAGAAGAGGTTGGCATGGAGTTACTTCTAACAAGAGGAGAGGAATCTGCTGGGGGCTCTAGAAGGACAGGCACATCACCCTGCTGACTGACTTGGTACAAGCTGGATTCACTTTTGATGGATGATGTGGTCTGGGATTGTCTACATTCTGTATTGCTGCCTGGGTAAACTTGTGTTGATTTAATAGTGCTCAAATTACTGGAATCAATGAGTTCTTCTTTATTTGGAGTCAGGTGAGAAATATGCTCCTCAAGCATCTTGATATCTAACCTGTTGTTTAAAAGAGGTGATGGGTCTGTTTTGCCCTTTCTACCCATTAAACTGTGTTCCTGATTGGTTGTGGCTACAGTTAGTGATGTCCTTTGATTAATCCTATAGAACTTCCCAAAAATTATCTCTTCATAAGACTTTGCATTAGTATTTGGTGGGCTAATTTGCTGCTCAGCGCTTTCTGAGCGGGAAAAATAGCCAGAGTCAGTGCTTCCTTTACTGTGTGGGCTCAGGAGGTTTAATGACTGCTCAGAGTCCTGTCCTTTTTTCTCTGACAGTCTTAGTGCAAGTCGCTGTTTTACTGTATGAGAGTCGTCAGACTTGGTACTTAAGGATGGGGTTTGCAACATATCAGAGCCGATATAGGGTGAACTCTCACTGGGTAACTGAATCCCGCTTTTAGGGATAATCAAAATGGGGACTTTCATCGGCCCCACCAAGGACTCTTCCATGGAGGAGTGAAAAGCACTCCTGCCAGCAATGTCCAGCGGGAGCTGTGAGACRGGGCTCAGTTTGTCAGACCCTTCCATTAGGAGCGAGGTCTCCTCGTCAGTGTCTGTGCTCTGCTCGCCATCTGAGTGTATTTCAGCTTCCACGTCRATGTAACTGGCATCGAGGTCCAATTTGGAGACTGCTGACTCTGTGAAAGGTACCAATCCTGCCTTAATTGCATGGGCATGTGATTTCCTGTGTTTGTAAAGGTTGCTTTTCGTCTTGAAGGAGAAACCACAAGGAACACAAGGGTACGGTCGCTCACCGGTATGAGACCTAATATGCTTTTTAAGTACACTAGGTTTGGCACAGGCCCGATTACAGTAAGGACAAATGTACTTGCCAGGCTTTTTGGGTTTGTGCTCCTTTTTGTGAGCATCTTCTGATTGTTCTAAAGATTTCTGAGAATATTGGCTGTAYGCAGGGTTCAAACTGGAAATCTTCTTCCTGGAGAAACCTCCACTATGGCTATGCATATGAAAAGCAAACAAGTCCTCTGAGGCAACTGATTGCAAGTGGCTAGGAAACTGCCATGGAGGGCCTTCCAAGCTCTGATGTGGCTTTATGTTGTGCAAGAAGCCTTGTGGCAATGAATGCTGTGGAAAGGAAAGCGAATGTTGACATGAGTAAGGGCTTGGACGATGCTGTGGATATTGCTTCTCTGTGACTTGCTGTGCAGCTTCATTTGATGATACCAGTTTCCCAGAACTAAAAAGTTGTGCTGATGCCGTGTTTCCTATCTGCTCGTGATCTATTTGTKGTTGCCGCTGTACTTCTTGACTGCCGAAAGTGCTCATCTTAATAACAGGTGAATGTTCCTGCCTCCATCTACTTGGTACTTTAGCAGTTTCTCCAGACCTTGAGGTAGCTTTTTGCCCTATAGCTGTGTCCCCAGAGTCCATTTTGTTACACAAGGTCTTAAGTGCTAGTTCACTTGAAAGCTGTGCAGACACATGGAGTGTGCCCAAAGCTGTGCTTTTTAAAGTTTTGTTGCTCCCATTTTTCCAGGGCTGTTGCAAGTTCACAGACTTTTCTTTCTCTTTGGAACTTTCCACACAGTAGTCTATAGGCATTAGATTTGTGTCTGTACACTAATGAGACTATTATACAGTTCTGTTCATGGCATGAACTTTCCTAAACAGTTTATTATACATTTGCAAAGACTTGTTATAGCATTTGGACACGTTCCATTGTTATTAAATACTGAGACGCAGAATGATCCAGAGATATTTGTGATCTCCTAGAGCAAAGCTCTCTTCATCTCTTCCATGGTGACACAGCTACCTGTACAGAAATATAAAATAAAAAAAAAACAAACCCACACACATCAATTAGTACAGGCATACTAAACAACAGTCAGCTGCACTTCTATTTAGCCTTACGTGAAAATTAATGAGGGACTTCAGCAGTGGTAACTACATTTCACAAAACTCCCTTTTGTGAGCAGACACAGTGAAGAGTGGCTCCRGAGACTGCACACAAGCATAATCACTACTCAATAGCAGCTCTAGGAATAGAAAAGAGAGACCTGCACTTTCCAAATTAATCAGTGGCTTTGGAAGGCTTTCTGGGGACAGTTTAAAGGCCTGATCTCAGAAAGTCCACTACATACTTTCAAAGCTCTTTCAGCAAATCACTGCTGAAAATAGAGGCCTAACACTGTGGGTGGGAATTACCTRGTCCAGTATTACTCACCTACAGTTCAGACGTGCACTTTAGTCACCTGGCCTTCCTCTACAGTCAATGGAGGTTGATCAGAGAACAAGTTTTTCCATATCATAATAGGTGCTTCTGACAGAGAGGCTGTCTATGCACATGGCCCTCCACTATGAAGATGCTTATTTCTTACAGTCAGCTATGTATATACCAAATATTGCTAAAAAATTTCTAAAGTGAGGTACTTCTTACCTTAGACCATCTAATTGGTTTAAGAAGAGGGTGTTGTTAACCATTCTAAACTACTTGTAAACAGTCCAAAAAGAATTCAAAGCATTCCAAACACAGCAGTGCTAGTACCTTTCCCCCACTCCATCTTCCAATCATTATGGTAAATTTTTGTGAGAAAGTCTTGCTAGATGTAAAGGATATACTAGTGACTGTGTTTATGTGACTCCAGCATTTTAGATTTCAYTGTTGAAACAATTCCATCCAGATTACATGCCCTTTTAAAGCTTAAATCCAATAGGTTTCCACATCAAAAGGTCAGAGGTACAATTTTCATGGGAAAGTACTGATTTGAATTTGAAGTAGAATCTACGCTTCTGTTTTCATATTATTCAAACACAGGACATTTTCTGGATGAAACAGTGAGAATTATAAAGATAGTCATTCAACAATAGCAAGGAAAAGGGTAAAAAAGTCAGTATTAAGAGTAACTGGAATACTTTTCATTCCTACAGTGGAGAAACTGAATTTGGCTTAAAGAAAAAATAGCAAAGTGCAGGAGAACACAGGTAATAGGCATTTATGGTTATTCTTTTCAGTATCAASTACTTACCTGCATCTTCTAAACATCTAATAGGCATGACTATCTTCAAATTTCCTGTGGAAAAAAAATTCAATTATAAGAGATTTTTGATTCGGGTATAGACAATGATGAAAATCTTATATTCTTTACAGTGGAGGCCTGAAAATTTTGTTTACCCATCCACAAGAAAATTTCATGTTGTGTCTTAGAGATCTAAGCAAGTACATTTGAAGACTATGAGCATGAATAGGTTTAAAAGACTTAGGTTTCTAATGTGTAGACGAATAACAGCAAGYCTAAACGAATAAAGTCTCACCTTCCTGAATCAATGAAAAGAGAGCTGCCAATGTACCTCTTCATTCCTATACCTTTGTTAAGCCCAGATTATCCCTGAATCCCCTTGGCAAATCCCCTTTCAATGCCTCTCTCCAGATAATACTTTTAGACTCCAGGCCTCTCATTAAATGTTCCGGACCAGCACAAACTCCAGGTCAGGGTGTCACCCCTCAGGGACAAGAAAATGTAGTGAAACAGGAATAGGTGTCCAAGTCAGCTAACACCTGTGTGATACTACTAAAGAATACATGGCTGCCTTCTCAAAGAAGAAACTTACAGAAGAAAATTACAGAATGCATGGTTAAAAGACTTCTGTGACTGCCATTATTTGCCACCTCTCTGACTGTCACCACATTGCAGGCTGCTCTGTATTGTTGAAAAGACAGCTCAGAGAACAGGGAGCCTGAACATCATCTCATTGCCTTAAGACCATTCTCCCATCAAAGGGGGCTCTCCCTTTTAGTTTCAACAAATCTATCCTTGAAAACAGATTTTGGCTTTTGTTTCAGTAAAAAGGATGTTAGTTCAATTGTGGTAACAAAAGAAACAATGACAGTTTATGGTTTTTATTTATGACAAAAGTCAGAGCATCTCTAAAGACCAGGCCTTTAGAAACAGCTGGAACATTAGCTTCAGAGTAGGGGACATAGACTAAGGTAATGGTCCTCAATTAGCAAATGTCAGAGGGAAGCTAGAGCACTCAGGCTTTCTCCACTTAATGACACCAAAAAATGATAAAGAGCTAAAGACTATAAAGAAATCAAYAAAAATTGAAAAATACTTTTTAGTTCTTTGTAATTAATAACGCTTTCCAAGAACAAAAGACATTAGCAAAGCCTGATAACTCGACACAAATAGAATCAGTACCGTGCCACCTGTTATGAATTAATTATTTAGTAGTACAAATAATATATCAGTAGTTAGGGCAACAGTAACTGATGGAATGTTGGTTTAGTAAATACTTTTTAATTTTAACTACAGAGAAATGCCCTGTAGTACAAAATAACAGCAAGCTATCAAATGCAAACCAGAATATTTTAGGTCATAATGTCATTCAGCTTCAGTGTGCTAATGGCTTTTTTAAATAACTCTTGTCTGATTTTCTCAAGTAAAAAAGAAAAATGCAACTCAAGTATAATTAAAAAAAAATCCTAATTCACTTCCTCAAATAAATAGTGTCCATCCACAGGGAAAAAGAAATCTTGTGCATGAGTTACAATATACCAGAAGTGGTTACTACAGAGCAGCTCGGCAGGGGCTCATGAGGACACGGCAGGCAAGTGGCAAAACACTTTCAACAGCTGAGACACGGGTCAGTAATGATGCCAATAGATGAGCACAGATATAAAGGAAAATGTGTGGCTTGAGAAAGCAGAAACAGGGACAAGAGTGAATGTTCCTCCCTGAGAGAGCATAAAGTTATTATCCATCTTCAAAGAAAAATACTTTTCTCCTTATTAGGCAATTTTGCAAATGGTGAGAAAGAAATTTCCAGAAGATGGGAGCATCCTATTTATTTTCCATACTCCTTTTACTGAGAGTACCTTTATAGAAGGAATCTGCCAGTCATGGCAGTGTGACAGCAATGTTTTTATTTCAGCAAAAGATGATGCTAATATACATTCAAAACTTTTCTGTTCTGGACTGAGACCTCTGTTACAGAGTTAAAGCCATTCTGCAGTCCTGCAATCTCAGAACATTCTATACAATTTTTCAACCTACACTATGAAACAGGTATAAACTAATTACAGGGATTATTGATGGCTTAAGTTTCGAGAGGGCCACTCTCCTGGGGAAAATAAATCCCCTTCCAAAACAAACATCATAATTTCTGGTTTGGTTTGAGCTGCCATCCATTCTGTGTCAAAGATGGTTTTAATATTATTTCTCTTGTTCTTCTTCCCCTCCCTAATAGGAGACTGGCCTATCTGGAGAAATGTAGGGCACTGCAAAGCTAGCTGGCATTCCGTCTGTTTTATCCATTCAAGACTCTATCTTACCTGGCTGCACCCACAGCCTAGCCTAAAACGATAACAGACTTCCATTTTCCCAAGTGATAAATGTTTTTCCTTTAGAAAAAAATGTAAATATACTTTTAAATATTGGTTTTCACCAAACACATACTATTAAATTGACAGAAACTCATTATGTTTCAAGTACCACCTATTGAAATCTAAGGAACTAAGGATGATAGAAGTTTTTAATTTTTTTAAATACTTTTTTTGCACAATTTTTTAAATACTTTTGGCACGGCTCTGCTCTGTCAGAGTGAATAAAAGCAGCCCACCTACACGGATCAGAAGCTGTATGGGAGTTGCATGGAGCACATTGTTTGACAGGAGCTGCAAAGTCCTTCCTGGCTGGGGGCCAAGCCAGGTTTCCTGGTAGGAATGTGACCTGAGAGCCAGCTCCCCCAGTCACATTASCTCTGCTATCTGCCCACTTCAAAACAGGACATTTCACTTCCGTGAAAACTTTGAACATGAGAAGATTACTTGGAAACCAGGAGCTGTATTTATATCAGATGCACCTACTAAATCAAGACTTTTAAAACTTTCCAGAAAGAAACATTATCCTATTGGTAGCTTTTTAGCTAGGGTGCCTTTGYGAGCTGTATGCATGGGATGTATATCTGGTTGACTGCAGAGCTCCAAGATTATTCCTTCTTTTTTTTCCTCCCTTTTTTTTCAGACCACTAAAATGGTTACACTCAACAGCTTTAAAATAAAATTTGGAAAATATTACTTTTACTGCTCCTCAATTTGTAGCTCATATTACAGTTCTTGCAAGGGAACAAATTGGAAGCTTATGTCTTCCAGGCTAAATCCTGAGTGCACCATACAGAATAAATATTGACTCTAGCGTAAGGACTAGRGGTCAGATCCAGCCCTGTTTTAAATCTTTTCTGTCCAGCTCTGCCAGCACAAAGCCRGCCTAAAACCGCAGTAACTGGCCCCTGAAGAATTTGTATTCTATAGGGMAAGACAAACTGCAGTGGCTCCTGTGAAATCCTTACATTCCTGCACAGACCTCTGCCAAGACCCTTATTAGGCAAGTCTAGGTTGTGTCTGGGATAAGCCCAACAGCCTTACAAGAAAGAGAGGCCACCTCAGAGCTCTTCCCCACCTGCAATTGAGAAGAAAATTGCCTTGGCCTTTCAGGAGGAGAGRCAGCACACTTTCAGCTTGCTGCCCTACACATTTCCTGCTGTCCTACTAATCAGATTCCCCAATAACTGCTTGGTGTTGATAACCCAGTGAAAAATTTTAAAATACTGGCATCCCTAGTAAAACATAGATTTATAGTTTCTTCTACATAGGCAAAATCATAGGTGAGCTAAGTCTGAAGAAGAGCTCTCAATCAGCATCCAGTTGAACACTGAAGGATTTAACTGGCATGAAGACAGACAAGCATTTGTTCATCCTTCTTTCCAAGGTTATATATTCACTCATGGGCTGAGGATGTTATGCAGCAACATAAGGAGAACACAGTCCTTGGGGTGTATAGTTCTGGCATTTTACGCAAGTGACAAAAAAAGATGAGATGACCAACTCCAAGGTTTTTTTATGCCCCTTGATACCACACTTGCTGTCTTTGAATTGTACTTACTAAAAAGATAAGGAAAAAATAAACACTTTAATTTCCCAGTTTTGCAAAAAGACTTCTCATTCCTGACCAGAGAGATTCCCTTAGCATTTCCAGCAAACTCTGGTTAGGGGGCTAATCCGTCCATCTGACTGTGGTTTTGTACCTGCCTATTTGAACATCTCTAGGAATGACTGTAAATCCCTATGCCAACCACTGAYACTTGGCAGAGTCTTGGATTACTGGGGAATGCAAGGATGCCTGTGCTTCTGCAGTTTGGCATGAGTTTTGCCAACCAAAAACATTTTTGCACAAGCAATTCAAAGAAGGCAGCTCTTTTAAAACAGATTTACCACTTTCTATCTTGCAACTGATGTTGTTACCTTTTCACATTTGAAGATATTACTCTAATTTATTAATTTAAYTCCAGCCCAGATATTCTGCCTGCCCTTTGGATTTCAGTGCTTTATTAAATGTATTGCCGCTCTCCAATTCTCAGGGAATCACAGTTTTGGAAAAAACCCTGAAATATTTAGAATAATACATACGGATTTGGTTGTTTTTTGTTTGGTTGGTTGGTTGGTTTTTTGTTTTTTTTTTTTTTTTTTAATTTGGGCATCTGAACTAATTATTAAATGTAATTTTAAAGTACCATCCAATATAAAACCAAACACAGCTCAGTGAGTACACACAGTACACAGTGATCTAACAAACTGTACTAAGCTTACTTGAGGACAAGCTCCAGGGCAGGATCTGCTCTCCACTGCTGCGTTGTGTTCACAAGGATTCCCCAAGAACCCGGGAACTGAGGGGACTCATTGAGAGGATCCAATKACAGCTGCATCAAGGGCAGACTGCAACTCACTGTGACCAAACACCAGCTTCAGGCTTTTACTCTCAGGAGGGCACATTCGTGTCCCTGGTAGCTGCCGGTTTCAAGGGAAAGATTCTGTGCGTGTAAGACTAGAAGTGGTATAAAACCTGGCATTTTGATTTGTGCAATTATTATTATTTCAATGCTTGAACTAAATCAGCCATTGAGAATCGGTATCTAACACACTTTAGATAATGGTAGTAGGATTATTTCATTAATTTTATGCCTTTATCAAACTCACCTCAATCTTTATTAATTCAGATGATTCAAACTATTATCT